TAAGCTTATTCAATGTATCTAATGTTCATTCAAAAGTGCAAATTGCATTATGTTGTGTGTAAGCTTATTATAATGAATTTTATGTACATGTGTCTTAGTAAAATGTGTAACAAAACAATCACTGGCTGTCCAGTGCGATTTCCTATTTTCATCCTGCAATAATTTGATTCTGGTGATTTTATTAGCAATGATTCATTATTTTTATGCTGAACAATAGAAGCCATACTTTTTTTGGTTTAATTTTTTAAAATTTACCCAACTTTCAAACTTTCACCATAGTTTAGAAGCATTATATTTTTGACTAATATCCTGTCCCATCGTTATTTCTGCCATGTTTTAGTGGGCTTTATTTCTCTTGTAAATGTCCATCTTTAAGTGAGGAATAAAATATATTTTTATAATATCCCACACTGACCTTGGAGTTCAGTAGCTTAATTTATTCTTTAAGACTCAGTGTTATTTCATTTTTCTCTTTGACTTTCATCTTTCATTTCTTCTACAGAAATGTTAACATCAAACATCAATCTGTGATCACTTACCAATGTTCATCTTGCCTGACAGAGGCACTGTATCTCTGGGTGGCCATCAAAAACCAGACTGTGACTTAAATTACATATGTATACATAAATACATACATATATGTGTGTATGCATGTATGTGTATGTACGTATGTGTGTGTGTATGTGTGTGTGTGTGTGTGTGTGTATATATATATATATTTAGATTTAGATTTATATTATTTATATTTGTTGTTGTTAGTTGCGAAGTCATGTCCGACCCATCGCGACCCCTTGGACAATATTCCTCCAGGCCTTCCTGTCCTCTACCATCCTCTGGAGTTTATATGCACATATATGTACATCAGTGGTGGGTTCCTACTGGTTCGGCCCAGTTCGGCTGAATCGGTAGTGGTTTGGTGGCCTGGGTTGCTGGAACTGGCAGCAACCCAGGCCTGCCACACCCCCGAACTGATTCCCTGGTCTCTTCTCCTGTTGCTGGTATATTTCTGTGAAGCGCACGTGCAAAATTTTTGCATGCATGCAAAATGCCCTCTCTCAGCAAATCAGTAGTAAACTGGTCAGGAACCCACCACTCATGTACATACATATGCAAAAAAAAAAACGCACCCCCACAAAACAGAGGGGGGGGGGGGGGGGGGGG